TATATACACACACACACACACACACACACACACACACAGTATTTCTTCACTTTTGTCTTTGTGTCTACGTGCTGCTTTAGCGGGAGGATATAAAGGATATAGAAGCCTATATGGAAATAAAGTAATTGGATTACATTCACCGGAAGTACAAAACATGTTAGGTGTGCCTAATATTTCACAAACGGTAATACCAAGTTATTGCGAGGGAAATGTCTTTAATCTTTGATTTTTGGGTTGCTGGGGAAATAAAATCCTGCCCAATGACACGCATCTGAGTTCAGGACCTCCAGACAACATACATGCTGAAAAGCACACATTCTTACAGTATGAATATAAAAAAAGTGCAATACTTGTAGAATTACAATACAAAAACAATTGCTTGAAATGAACAACTAAATGGTTTCTCCCATGTAGAAAATCAAACTACGTGTTGTGAATCCTGTAACTACAACCTGAACAACTAAAGGGTTTCTCCCATGTCGACAAACAAAGTGTGATCTCATATGGTGATTCAGTGCAAATCTTTCACCTACATTTTGCACCTAAATTGTTCCTCGTCTGTGGGCAGTCAGGTGTCGTTTCAGACTACTATGTTGAGAGAATCCTCTCCCACAGACCCCACAAGTAAACGGTTTCTCCCCCGTGTGGAGAGCCAAGTGTCGCGTCAGACTGCCATGTTGTGTGAATCTTTTACTACAAACTGAACAGCCGAACGGTTTCTCCCCCGTGTGGACGACCATGTGTTGTTTCAACAGTTCCTTTTGTGCAAATCCCCTTCCACACTCTGAACAACTGAACGGTTTCCCTCCTGTGTGGCTCGTCAAGTGTTGTTTGAGATTACCTTGATGCGAGAATCCTTTTCCGCAAAACGAACAACTAAACGGTTTCTCCCCAGTGTGGCTGGTCATGTGTCGTGTCAGACTACCCTGTTGTGTATATCTTCTACTACAAAGTGAACAGCTAAACAGTTTCTCCCCCGTGTGGAGAGCCAAGTGTCGTTTCATGTGTCGGTTAAGAGTGAATTTTTTACAACAAACTGAACAGCTGAATGGTTTCTCCCCAGAGTGGGTTCTAATGTGTCTAACCAAAATGGCACTGGAACTGAAACTTGTTTTACAAACTGGGCAGCCGAAACGTTTTCCATCCGAATGAACTCCTAAGGGTGAGAGTTTCTGCAGACGTCCCTCGTGGCCAAAACTTCTAGCTCCTTCCACATATCCAGTATTACATTCATCACCATCATTTACGTCATTGTTTTGCAAAGGGTTTGGACCTGATGGAGGTTCCCCAGTCTCCTCCCAGTCACTACCGCTGACATCAGTCTCAGATTCAGAGGAGGATGAAGTCTTGTCATCGGATTCAGAGGATGAATTCTCGTCATGAGTAGCTGGTTGAAAAGAACCATCTGGATCTGAGTTACTGACTGATTCTGATCCGCCACAGTCATCCTCATCGGCTTCCGTTTTCAAAAGCTCTGCCCCTCTGTTGTCCTCAGTGTGGCTCTCATGAAGCTGTGAGGACTGATCCCTCTCATCGACGCCCTCTTCAGTCTTCACAGTGACCAACGTAAATGGGAAGTTGATATAGACTTCCTCCAGCCCTTGGAGCTGCTCTCCCTCCTGAATGGAGAGTTCCTCCTGCTCCTCCTTAATGTGTGGAGGTTCTGGATCCTCCTGGTCCAGACCGGAGCTCCACTCCTGCTGCTCGGGGGGAACCTCTTCTTTAAGAACCAACGGCTGCTGGATGTCTGGAGAGTAACGAAATACATACGTACGCGTCTTAAACTGCGATTTCATGTTAACATATAAATCACTGATACCACTGCTCTTTCTAACGAGGGGAGACATGTTACACATTTAGTGAAATATATTTAGAATTAATTCAAACTGTTATGTGTTCAACCTGGCTGTGAGACATAGAGGTAAACAAAGTTCTACCTGACCCATCAGATGGTTTGTTACACAGAATCATCTGAGAAGCCGTCGTTGGGAACTGTTTGGAAAAGGGCAGGCACTTTCAAAAGATTCCCTGGCAGGTGATTGGAGGACCAATCTGTCAATCAAACTTACCGAACCCGTCAGGAGAAGAGCGGGAAACACATTTTCCATTTTAAAAAGCCTTCATTGTCGCTCTTTGCTCTACTTTCTATGAAGAAATACTCTCCAGTTCTGACATTACTGATGCTGATGCAGCATCTAGGCTGATACTATATAGATAAAAATAGACATAATATAGAGATTCAAGGTTTCTGCCCGACAGCGATGAAGTATAAATTGGCTAAATACTGTTTCAAGAGCAGCAACAGTTATGTTTACAACAGCAAGGCCACAATAAAAACTATCTACAAACAAATGTCAATAAAATACGTCACATTCCTGACATCAAAACACAGAGTAAAGTTTAGAGAGAATGAAGAACACAGATGTCAGTACCAGTACGTCAAAGTACCATAAATACATTTATTTATTCATCGGATTAATCTATAACAAAAATAATCATTAAATTAATCTATGACGAAAACAATCATTAGATTATAGTTCAACATGAGCTCCACCTCAGTTTAAAAAAGTGCTTTTACATTAATGCACCAGTAACAATCTAATCGTACAATATTAAATATAATATTTCTACTTTTAATACATTTTCGTGATTACCCTTAACTCAACGTTGTCTATTGTCACCTAACGTTAGGACACATTTTAAATGCAGGACTTTAAGGTACTTTTAAACAGTTGTGGAAGTATTCCGATCTTTTACTGCAGTAAAAGTACTAACACCTGACTGAAAATACTCCTCTGGTGTATACTGTGAGAAATCAAATACTCAAGTCAATAAGACTTTATAATAAATCACCTCTGGCCAAATCAATATCACAATTATAACACTGTTGTTTAGTTAGTTATTTAATATTATTCTATTTCATTGTATATATTGTACATTTTAATATTAAATATTCTTACTGTTATTGTTATTGTATATATTGTGCATTTTTATATTTCATATTTTTACTCCGTTATTTTATTTACCTGCTGCTGAGCGAAAAATTGTCCCCTTGTGGGATTAATAAAGTATCTGTCTGTCTGTCTGYCTGTCWGKCWGACTCAGACAGACAGACAGRYAGRYAGRYAGGTAGGTAGACAGACAGACAGACAGACAGACAGGTAGGTAGGTAGGTAGACAGACAGACAGACAGACAGRYAGGTAGGTAGGTCTGACTCACGTAGGTAGGTAGGTAGGTAGACAGACAGGTAGGTAGGTAGGTAGGTAGGTAGGTCTGACTCASGTAGGTAGGTAGGTAGRYAGACAGGTAGGYAGRYAGACAGACAGACAGACAGACAGGTAGGTAGGTAGGTAGGTAGGTAGGTAGGTAGGTCTGACTCACGTAGGTAGGTAGGTAGGTAGACAGACAGACAGACAGGTAGGTAGGTAGGTAGGTAGGTAGACAGACAGGTAGGTGTGACTCAGACAGACAGGTAGACAGACAGCGTGAACTGACCTGCTCTAGTCTGAAGTAGTTTCCGTCGCTCCTCCTCGTACTCTGCTATCGTTCGTTCAAACAGACCGAATACCTCTTCAGCAGCCGCAGTTAGTCGCTGGTTGACTAAACATCTTAGTATTTGGAGTTTAGACATTTTCACACGACTTCTTCTCCGTTAAAAAAACCCCGTTTACTTTCCATTAAGCGCTAACAAGCGCTGTGTCACTAACTTCCGATTGCCGTCAGTCTGTTTCCGGCTAGCATGATAGGCTAACTTCGATAGCTTTGTAGGCCACCGGGAGATGTAAAAAGGCGAAAAATATCCGTTGTTAGTCGCGCCAAATAGCAACATCCGGTTCCGGTGCGAGTTGGTTCTTCTTCTTCTTTGATGGTTTACGTCAGTTTGCATCCACAATGTCGCATTACTGCCACCTCCAGGTCTTTATTTCCCATTCTTCTTCCCCTTCTTTCCTTTCTTCTTCCTCCTCTTCCTCTTCTTCTTCTTCTTCTTCTTCTTCTTCTTCTTCTTCTTCTTCGTCTTCTTCTTCTTTCAGTTTATTGGCGGACTACAAACTAACGTCTAAGGTGTATGCTGCCACTTACTGTACCGGAGTGTGTACCATCATGACTTTCTGACAGTTATCATTTAAACACAATAATAATGTTATTTATACATAAAATAAAAAACAAACAAAACAAATAAATAAATAAAGCCATTCTTATATACTTATAAAGTTGTTATATTACGCCCTATTTATATTAGTTGTGTCATAATTGATTGTCTTTTCTGTGTACATTTCCTGCATGATATAAATATATATACATATATATACTTAAATGCAGTGGCGGGCCGTGAATTGTATACCTGCATTCTGTGCTGTCCTACTACTTTCTCCTCTGATGTTAATCACTTCATTTGATTCCATTTGATTTGAGTCCCTTTTTGACTGCCACCCAACCGCCCAACCATCCAACCAACCAACCAACCAACCACCCATCCAACCAACCAACCAACCAACCAACCATCCAACCACCCAACCACCCAACCATCCAACCAACCAACCAACCATCCAACCACCCAACCACCCAACCATCCAACCAACCAACCAACCAACCAACCAACCATCCAACCAACCAACCAACCATCCAACCAACCAACCAACCACCCATCCAACCAACCAACCAACCAACCATCCAACCACCCAACCACCCAACCAACCAACCACCCAACCAACCAACCATCCAACCAACCATCCAACCATCCAAACAACCATCCAAACAACCAACCAACCATCCAACCATCCAACCATCCAACCAATCAAGCAAGCAAGCAAGCAACCAATCAACCACCCAACCAACCAACCAAACCAACCAAACCAACCAACCAAACAACCAACCAACCATCCAACCAACCATCCAAACAACCAACCAACCATCCAACCAACCAACCATCCAACCAATCAAGCAACCAACCAACCAAACCAACCAAACCAACCAACCATCCAACCAACCAAACCAACCAACCAAACCATCCAAGCAAACAAAACCAACCAACCAAATGGTTTGTTCAACCAACGATTTTTATTATTTTAGAGATGAATTCATGAGTCTGTGTCTGAGTGTGTCTAAAAGAAACAATACGGGGTTCAGAAAAAACTTCATTCAACAAGTTGTCACTCTCACTAATGATCTCACTAATAATGTGTATATTTTTACTGTGTACATGTTTACTGTGTATATTTGTACATGTACATCTTTTCCTTGTGGTGACAAAGAATGGTTGATATTACTGTCACTTTACAATGTACAATACAATAAAATACATAAATCTTGATGAATCCTCCCACTTTGCTAACTTCTTCCTCTCTCACTTCCTCACTTGCCGTTCTTTCCCTGAAATTGAGTTTGACCTCGAGGTGGAAACATCACAAATCAGTTTACATGTCTGAATCATTTCGTACAAATATTTGTCCTCACTAACCGCCCATGTTTGTGCCCACGTGTTTTGAAGTTAAACGACAGCATTGTAAAAACACCATGACATGACTCCCTACACTTCAGTCTCAGATTCTAAATATTAATAACTCATCAGTCATCACGGGTGATTCTTCTATAAATCAGGACGACACTTATAATTACAAGGCTTCTCTAGCGAGGGAAGAATCTATGACACTGAGTCGTTGATTGTCGGCACAATCAGATCAGCCAGATGATTAAGGGTTAAAGAAATGTTTGTCTGTGTGGGAAACACTCAACCCGACCTTCACTCAGCTCATCAGATCCCTGACTCGTAGTATTGATCTGGTGACAACGAGGATCAGAACCTCAGCCACGTCTGAGTAAAGCTCGTCCTCGGGCGCTGAGGCCTGAGTCCCCTCGGTGTCGGGGGCTTTGATGCAGGATGACATCACATCATCGTGATCGACGGAGAGGAGACAAAGCAGCAAGTGTGACCTTTTTCATCTGCAAGGAGCTGCACATGGACCGTCATTATTATTTCTTTGAGTACAGATACAGATACTAAAATAAAAAAGTTTTTGTGCTGATGAAAGAAAAAACCTGTTGCAAAATAGATTTTTTTATGGCTGTTGACAGTATTTTCTGACTTATGAAGAGATACAGAGAGATATCATGACTCTAATATGTCAACGAAGTGAAACAAGACTTTTGAACCTGGCTTTAACCAATGTTCATATTTATGTTCAAGAAATGAACGCACACTAGCACACATTTCCCAAGATAATGCATCAGTTGTGTAAATATAACATTTCAGAAAGGGTGTCGTACAAATAAATATTTGTATTAAAGGTACAGTACAGGTGAATCTCTAGAATGGGCCATTCACGTTTTTGTGTTTTTGAATTGGCGACCGTACGTCTCCTTCACGCTTCGCACACGGAAGAAGTTTCAGTTGGTTGCAACCTGCAACCTCACGTCTAGATGTCGTCAGATCACACTGCACTTTAATGTAAGTAATCAACTGGAGAACTGTCTCGGCGATATCTACAAGTTAAGTTTTTAACCCTATTCACCTGTAGTGTCTCCCCCTATGGATGTTGCTGAATGCCCGCCTGTACCTGTCCAGGTGTGCTGAAACTCAAGCTGCAGTCTGACTTCCTGCCAAGATCAACCGGCTAAGCGCGGCCTCAGGGCGACAGGGGACACGTCGGCCAATCAGATTGTTTTGCGGCTTATGGTAGGTAATCTGTGCCAGGGGCAGCATGTGTCTCTGTGTGTGTGTGTGTGTGTGTGTTTGTGCCAACAGGCCTCAGAAACAACCGCGAATGAGGCTCCGTCACTTCAACTATCTCTTGTCCTCACGTCCATGAATGTCTTTGTGTATGGGGGTTCCTCTGTGCATATGTGAACGTTTATGTATGTGTGTGGTCTTTGTAAGATGAGGATGTTTCCCCCGAGGTGGTGGATGTACAGATCACTTTCAAAGCCGGGAGATGTCCAGCGCCCCCTACCTCACCCATCTACCCCCATGAACAGAATGTTCTCAGCAGAGAGCAGGCTTGTCAGCGAGAGCAGAGCCTTTCAAAACGCCCCGATGTGTTTTGATAGCAGCGCTGTGAAAAGAAGCGTAATGCTGCGGCTTTCTGCGGTATTCATCCAAAATCACAACACGGACAAACATCGTAGGAAGGCTGATACTCGTCTCGCAGCGGAGGTATTTATCCGCTGCAGAGACAGCTTTCAACAGGGGAGCTCTCTGCACAGCGGGGCCTCTTTGTCTCATTGTTTGCGGAGGAAAACAGTGAGATGTCTCACAGCTCAGCTCGCTGTCAGCTCACCGCGGGCCTCAGGTGTCTTTCAGGTTCAGTGTCACCTCGTGAAACGAATAAGGTGTGTTTAGGGATTTGGGGCCCTTCTGACATCATGCTGACTCTTTTCTGTGTTTGGTCCATTGTCCTTTGGTGTTTTAGTCTGATTAACTTCCTGTCATTATTGTGGGCATCAACAACAGTCTCAGTCCGGACTGGTTCACTCAGCCTACTATGGGTTTCTGAAAGTTGGGAACACATTTCTGACATGGACGGATTACTGAAGCGTCAGGGACTACAGAGAGACGAAGAGAAAAGACACAAAATAACTACACAGAGACACAAAACAACTCCAAAGAGACTACAAAGAAGCACAAACCCAATAGGTTGCATTCTGTGACTATCATTTCCTCGGTTGCCTCTTCGCTGTCATCTGTCTAAAAACGGCGAAAAAAGCCAAAGAAATTCTTGAAAAAACGTGATTTTGGTCCAAACACTTTGTTTCATGTACTCAACCGTTTGTTTCCTTTACAAACAGCAGTTCGCTGCTAGATCGGCTGCAGAGTCTTAACCTTGTTTTCACCGCTACTCTCAATTATTTCTTCTCAGGGTCACTTACAGACTCACGATGGCGGGAAAACAACCGTGTTGTTTACCTTTCTGCAATGTCAGCTTACAGTCACTGTGTGCTGCTGCAATATTTACGGTAAGACATCAGGATAGCAGAGCATCTGATCAGTCAGCGTGTAATTCTTTGAGCTGGTGAGTCAGCACTTTGATTCACACCAGTGCTGCAGCTTTTCTCTGCAAAATCCAAAACAGTTCTGTTATGAAACGCTGAGTTAAGATTCCTTTACTGTTACATCAACGTAAAGTTACTTTTGTTTTGGCTCCTCGATATTGCAGCACAATGGCACTCACAGGTCATTGCCTACTGCCTTCATAACTTATCTCTCCTATGAAGTTTCACATAAACCAATGACATTTATATGCTATACATTTATAGCATGAAGCTGCAGCCCTTCTTCTCCTCTCTCTCTCTCTCTCTCTCTCTCTCTCTCTCTCTCTCTCTCTCTCTGAGTTGGACTCCGGAGCGCGCACTGTTGTACCACAGAGCAGCTGTCACCATTACTTCATGCTTATTGGCCCAAGACCGAGAGAGAGGCAGAGGCAAAGCAAAGGCAAACAACGGGATATCGAGAGAGAGAGAGAGAGAGAGAGAGAGAGAGAGAGTTGGACCCCTGCGCTCTGCTCCATCGATCTGCAGAGGCGCAACACAGCTTCTACCGGACGTTGGACACATTTTCGGAGCTTTCTTTTTCTGTTTTCAGGGGGAATGCTCCAAGTGGATTCGCTGTTTGGAACATGCTATTAGGAAATTTGGTAC